ACAACCAGAAAGTAGGATTGTTCCCAAGCATCCCCCAGGGCTTGCGAGGTTTTCAGTTTGTTTTGAGAACTTTGAGGCATCCAGGCATATGCCCATGCCCCATCCAAGTGTGACAGCCATGCCTGCGGATGTCCATGGTGTGTGGTCCTTGGCGTAAGGCATTTTTTCGACAGCTTGACCAACGGTCTGGGCCATTTGGTGTCCGATTGTCAGTGGAAGCTGCAAAGGCCATGACGTCCTTTGACTTCACAGCCCTAAAGAACAACCTCGAAAGGCGGAGAGTCGTAGCTCGTGCATTCATTCAAGCTGCAGCCTAGAACATTGTCCAACAAAACGTGGCCAACGTGGGCTCGCCGTTGCACACAGTCCCGCCTGATTTCAGGGGCTGCTCTATTCAAAGACTTGCAAAGTAGCACAATTCGCGCTATTGCTGGGAAAAAACAAAAGGATAACACTGCATTTGCTCCAAGGTCCATAGCATGTCTTTAGCCCGCACGCCGGCCAAGGCACGCATGGTGCGCCGGGAAACCGTGCATGCTGCGTGTGAGGGCATGCATGCGGCTAAGCCATGCGCGAAGCAGTCAAGCACCAGGGCCATCATGGTGGCTGCCTCATGAATGCCGATCTTTAGAATTATCCATCCAAGTGCTGTGCATATCTCGAATAACTGGTTTTACGTCAACAAGTGCGCGAAGCATCTGTCCCGTCATTCTGGGGCATGGGGATAATTTCACTGAAAGTTAAGTTCCGCGCTCTGATCAGCAATTATCCAGCCGACGGTGTCTGGGGGATTTAAACGCCCTACCCTCGCATACGCAGCTCTCTGTGGCATCTCTGAGGGCACACGCTCGCAACATACCGCCCCTGATGGTTCAAAACAACTTGGGCACTTGGGCACCGAGGGGGCATCGAACTGCCCGATAATTCTGTCACTGAGACTTGGCCAGGCTGACATTCAACGACAAGTCTACAAGCCATGGATGCACCTCTTCGGAGCCAACCGCTCGTGAACCAATACCGGGCGCCTCTTCCATCAAACGCCCGGCCATCTCCACCTGCGTACAGGCCGTTCACCAAAAACCAAGCGTCTGTAAGAGGTACTAGGCCATGCATGCTTTATACGCACTAAGAGTATCCTGCAGAATGCCTGAGGAGCTGTTAGCAGCCAATGTAATGTCGGGCACTTCCCCACCAGAACTGTGATGAAATAGAATGGGAGCGAGATGAATGGGACCGCGCTGCGTGCTTCCAGCTACGCAATCGGAACAATTTTGGAATTTGTGATGAACAGGAAGTATGATGAATCCACAAGGTTCCTTGTTTGTCATCTTCCGGGGAAGCAAAAGTTTGCTTGCTCCCCTTCACTTGCTAGGCAGCTGATTCATCCATATGTCGCTCTGCGGGTAGTGATTTGAAATTCAACCCATTCAATCTGGTTGCTGTTCCATAGTGTACATTGTCATTCCGCTAAGCGCTAATGGCTCTAGGGTATTTGAAATGTAGTACGGTACACGCCGGGCAACGAGCTGAGTGCCTTCAAAGCCTAGCAACTGTGATTCAACGCACACCTTTGCCACAAGGTTGGTCATGCAAGTCCTGAAAATAAAAATAAAAGGTTGCTTCACACACTTCTGCTGTGTAGTCAGGCTTCGGTCAGAAAATCAAGATATTCCTGACGCTGCCCTTGAAATGTCGCCAGCCGAACCTTCCCGCCTTGCCATGCTGAATGGCTCTCACAGCGCAGGCGGCTCGCAGCAGGATGTCCAAACTCGGGCAGTGGCACCCGAACAAGCCAACCGCAGATTCCGGGGGCTGCCGGCGAGGCTTACCCCACAGAACAGCCCAAACATACAACAAGCCGCTTATTCAGCGCGACCTGACTGACCAATGTGCCATAGTCAACAGCCTGATATGGAAATCCCTTATGGCTCCACCTAGCTGTACAGGGGTTGTTGAGTCGCAGCATGCATGACAAGAAACCACTGTGATGATGTGCGGAATGCATTGCAGCCGTGGCAAACCATCATGGTTGAGGCAAAAGCTCTGCATTAAACACAGGCTCAAAAGCGTCACAACAAACCAGAAAACATATTCCAACAGCTCACTTTTCCAGGAGCAATGTTTTTGGGTGAGATTCGCTGGCATCCCAGCACAGTAGAGGGGCTTGTTTGGGCTTGAGTTTGCTCAGGTTCCTCGTGTCTGCCAAAGTTTGGCATGCAGCAGAATGGCCTTCTGTGATTGCAAGCTGATAACGAACTCACGACTGCTCCGTTTTCCGCTCGTTGCAGCATCCCAGGATCAGCTCTGGACCATCGGCTCTCAAACCGAACATCAACCTGTCTCCACGTGCTAGATCTTGTTGAGCGCGCGGGAAGCACCGGCCTGCTTGCTGTCACGGGGTCTCGCTGCGTGGGTCAGTCTTCATCAAATGCCTCAGAACGGCAGGCTCTAAGGATCTTGGCCAGATATCAATTCCTCCGATCCGCCCTACAAGTAACCCTGACATTCCAGCTCCCAAAATTGGTGCTTTGTTTGGCGGCTTGAAGGCAGTTAGAGGCCCACAACTTGCTCGGCCTATGCAAATATCAAGGATGCATAGGTTGGCAAGCCCCACTTGTAAGTGCCACAGGATTCTTAAGGGACCCACGGCCCAAGGGCGGGCTCCGTGCTTTACGTCCCAAACAAAAAGACGAAAGCCAACCAGCCACAATCAACCACATTACATTTCTCTGGACGCATTGAACATGCCGCCATCCACACGCATACGGAAACATGAGCTTGACGTGCAGGAACCCAAGGTCTGCAAAAGCCGCACCTGTGCCTATGCCAGGTTGCCACAAAAGTGGATGGATCTAAGTGAACCCGCACATGATCTTCAGCTGCAGGAGTGTAGTGCCCCGAATGGTTGTTCCACATCAGGACTCCTTCCTTGGCAACTCAAGCAGACTCTTTTCCGAAGAGGAGCTTGCCGCCCATCCGAACTGGACTGTGCGGGGTGCTCTTTAGAGACCATCTGGCAGCACAGCTTTTTGGAGGGTCACGGGATGATCGCGCTCCTGAGTTCTCAGCTTCTTGACGACTGCACCGTGGCTGTGTGAAATTAAGCGGCATACGTTGCATGGATGTTCTGATTTCAAACACGCCGCGCGTTACCAGTTGTTGTATCGCAGTCTGGGCTGTTCAAAATCACAATCCCTAGAGGGGAACCACTACGTTGGGGGCAAAAGGTGGTATCCTCTGCGCCCTAGTTGGCAGGTTGGTGGGCCGCATCGGCCTCGCTCGGACTAGGGCTGCCTATTGGCTTTGGTTTGGTGGTAGTTCAGAGTTGCTCGAGGCTGGTTTCGGGTGTTGGGCTTGCTGAGGTCTTAATGAGGGCGGGTCTTGGGCTTGTTTGGGGTTCATTTAGGCTCGGTAAAGGGCTGATATCCATGACGCTGTTGGGAGCGTTTAAGGTTGACTCTGAGTCGGCTTGGGTGGGCTTGGAGCTGATTTGCGCGAAATCAGTTCCAAGCGACTCAAAATCAACCTTAAACCCTCCCAACGGCATCATGGATATCAGCCCTTTACCAAGCCGAAATGAACCCCAAAGAGGCCCAAGACCCGCCCTCATTAAACAACAGCGAGCCCAACACTCACCCGAGACCAGCCTCAATCAACTCTGAACTGCCACCAAATCAAACACAATAGGCAGCCCTAGCCCGAGCGAGGCCAGTGATGCTGGGGAGTTAATACGCAGCCCTGACACCAAGTAGCTGGGGATGCTGGGGATGCGGCCGCCCAACCAACCAACCAACCAACCAATCAACCCAACCCACCCACCAACCAACACCAGTTGCCTGGCCGGGGCTAAGCCCCGAGCCATGGCAAGTAAAAAAAACAAAACGCTTCCTTTCCTGCAGGGGCTGCCAAGATCTAAGCAATAGTTGTCTTCCCCCCATCCTAGCAAAAACAAAACGCACAGAACCATCCCGCTTTGTCTTGCCGCGGCGCTCCCTCTTTGTAGTTCAGCTCGCCAGCATAAAGAACAGTGTGCCGGACTTGTGGATCGTTGCTTTCCCACTGCCGGGCCCAGCCACGCATGAACTCGTTTCCTTGGTGTGGTGCTCAGGAATGAAAGGATGGAAGCTGATGAGATAAATAGATGCATGCACGAATGGGTGCATAGATAGGCGAATGGGCGGATAAATGGGCAACTGGATGGACGGATGGATGGAGGATGCACGGACGGTTGGCCCCAAGGACGAGCGTGAGAGTGACTCGATACTTGATATGCGAATGAAGCGAGTACGGAATGAACGAATGGATGGATTATGTTTTGATGAATTTACTGAGCAAAAGGGGCTGTTAGCGCTCACGCATCTTCACTTTACCACCCTCGAGCACCGTGCCCATAGGTCCATAACTATCGGCAAAACGTGCGTGCAGCCCAGGTGCTCTCCACTAACGAGGTGTGCCCGCCAAGAACCCCTGCATTCACCAGGTGTTCCTCGTGGATCCTTGGCTTTCGAAACTACCTTCTTCGCGTTCAGGGGACCAACCTTGTCGCTAAATTTCCTTAAGCTCTTTGACCAACCCATATCCTACAATAGTGGGGCAATCCCGAAGACCATGCGTCTCTAGTCAGAGCAACTACAGTCTGAGTCCATGCCTTAATTCCACTCGACAAACAGGCTTGTCTGCCTCCAACATGGGTGGTTTGCTTTTGGGGTTGGCCAACACTTCAACGGACACCAGAAATGCATGGTAACTACTGCTTATTTTCTCTCAAAACTAGACCAACTCGAGACACACGCTCATATGTGACAACAGCATGTTCCCCCCAAAAAGGCTACCCGTCTCTCCCTTAAACAAAACCAAAACCCGAAGCCGAGCATCAGCCGGATGTACTCCGGGTCTCCAATCATGATCACGTAGAGGTAGGTGCCATCCTGCAGTTTGGCACTGCCCTCCCGCAAATCCTTCAGCGGCTTGATCTTCTTCAGGTCCTCGGCGCGGACTTTCGGTGAAAGCGCGCCTGGATTTCAACCAACAGGAGTCTCGGACATTCAAGCCCAAGCCACCAACCAACCAATCATATACTACCAACCAACCATATACTACCCTCCAACCCAACCAACCAACCAACCAACCAACCAACCAACCAACCAACCAACCAACCAACCAACCAACCAACCATCCAACCATCCAACCATCCAACCATCCAACCATCCAACCATCCAACCATCCAACCATCCAACCATCCAACCATCCAACCAACCATCCAACCAACCATCGAACCATCCAACCCGCTTTCAAGCCCAAGTGGATGAAAGTGAGTTTAAGCCACAAACTTGAACCAACTACCATGCCCCTGATGAACACAACATGAATTTACACACTTGTTCACAAACGTGCGGGCTTGGCTGGCGGTGATGCCAAAATGGGCACACCGCAAGCGGAAACCACGGGGCTGACTTCAAGCCTGGCATGCTCCAAATGGGAAGACTTGCTGTCCCAAGACTGGATGGACACCGCTCCCTACCACGAAGCCAACAAGCACGCGCGTCTGGAAGCCTAATCCAAACCTGCATTCCGCCAATAACAACAGCCAGGGTGGGAGCTGGCATCGTGCTACTTTCAATCCAACGGGTTCGCAGTGGCTCCCATGAGGCTCACATGGGAAAGCTGTCAGCGGATCAGTATCTGGCGAGCATCTGCTGACACGGAATCCTGCCGCGGGAGTCGGGAGGCGTAGCCCATGTCCTTGTCCTTACATGAGAGCATGCACTTTCAGAAAATATCCAATGCTATAAAGGCGGGAATGCAGGCATACACAAACAACAAAGCTGCGACATTCCCATGAAAATTACTAATTATCATCCAATTAATTCTACAAGTCTGTGAATACACCGGTGAATCAAATGAAGAGTAGTTGCGATGTGGCAGAAGCATTGGGGGATGCGACTGATGGAATTCGTCTGAGGTACGCTCACACCCATTTTGTGCAAGCAGAACATGCGATCTTATTAATGTAATGCTCAACCCAAGAATGCAACGAAAAAAGCACACGCCAGTCACCTGTGTAAATGGAAGTGGGCCTGGGCATGCCATGCCCGAATCATATCCTCCAGACTTGCCAACGCTAGCCTTTTTTATTGGATGACTTGCCAATGGGTTGACGCTGAGGTGGCTGGCGCCTATGTCTGCACGTCAGGTGTTGTCGGAGATGGCCTGTGGTCCTTTCGGCGGCCTGGTCTTGCAGTGTCAGCCGGTGCCATGCTTTGGGCAGCCATATGTTTGAGACAAATTGGGTGCCACAGAAACAGGGCGGCAGGAAAAAACAAACAAATACCAATCCCTTGGGGCTTCCTGAGAAAATCAACAGGTATGGTCAATTTGGCACCCAGCAAGTGTCGAACATGAGCTACGATCGAAAGCAACGCTTTAGAAGATCCGAGGGGCCGAGATGGTGCGGCAGCTGCGAGGCTGGGTGGTTGTCCGCGGAATCTTGGGACTCGCATCGGAGACGTCTGGCGCAGGTCGCTAAACACGCACATGACAATGATTGCTGATCATCCCACCAATATGGAAGCGGCACAGAGGCCCCTTCCAAAATGAAAAGGGTCTTCCTGGTCTTTGCACTTGCATGTTTGGTGGGAGGGTTTAAGGTACCCCTTCCAAATGAGCACCACTACTGGTTTGCCTTTGGTGTATTGAAAATGACCAGCTGTCCAGCCCGAATTTGCCGCAATATGCTGCGGCTTGAGAGACTCCTTGAGCCGCTCTATCTCAAACGCGGCGCGGCTCCATCGGTTCATTTGGACGGGTCGCGACCCGCCTGAAAATCCAGAAGTGGATCTCGAGTACTTCCGGTCCAACTTGCATGCGAGCCTCGCCTTACCGTTCCGAAAAATCAACACGCAACTGCTGGATTTCTTGGCTAAACCTCAGCTACACACACCACAAACATCTCTTGTTTCCGAATGTTCAGCTGCTTGCATGTTCCCACGGCTCGCCAGCGGTCACCACCTACCTAACCCCTTTCAACTGCGGTAAAGCAAAGCATGAATCAGTCGCAGCCAGCATGCATTGACACTTTGCCGAGTGACCTTTGTCCGCTTCAGATCCTCCTCTTCCACATCTGCGGCGCGAATGCAGGGGCCAACTAATAGATTGATATCACTGATTGGGCGCTTCTTCACGTCTAGCATTTCGTGTAGAGACCATGTGCGAGACTGCCCGGCTTCAAATGTTCTCATCATTCCAACACCTGCAGTCTAACAGAACGGGCTGGGATATCCCATTTCACTTGCAGTTTGGGATTGCAAGCCATACACCTACTCCACTGGAAGCATTGTAAGCGTGCCTGACATTGAGGACAGCCTCGACAAGGATCGGCCCAACTTGGAGGCCTCGGGTACAGCGAAATTTGTGACCTGACGGTATAGTAACACGATGCGGCAGCCGCGGGTTAAACCGCTTCTGAACTGAGTTGACTGACCAAACATGTGCTCTACTTGGACAACTGGCCTTCACGGCCCTTTTCTACAACACGAGCTTCACCAACTCAATGAAAGGCTTGCAACACTCTTGACCAGCTTACATGCATAGCCCAACCCTACCAGTTCCAACCTAACTGTTTGTAATTGACCGTGACAGTCCAAGCACAGCCCAACATGCAACCCACCAAAGGTCAGGTCCGCAAATGCTGATCATTGCCCGACGTCTATGAATCCAAGCATGGCTCTAGTCAATCTCTCCAGCTTCCAGGTCAAGCTCTACGTGCATCTTGCAACTCGGCGCTGACCCTGAAGCCGAAGCCCCGGCAACTCACAAGCAAACACCAAATGTATGTACGGAGTTCTGCGAACTGAATGGACTTAATATTGGTAGGCGTCGGGTCTAGGGGACCCCCCCCCGCCAACCAAAAAAAAACAAAACAAAGCAAGAATGATGGTTTCCGCTGGGCTTCCCGTTAAACCAATCTCAACAAGTTTTCTTAGGCTACACCGCATTTAAGAGAAACTCCCAAGCCTCCAACCAGCAAAAAAATCAACGACGCAGCAATTTGGAGCTCGCTGGGCGGCTTAGTCTCTAGGAGGCCAACCCGCAGGATTTATCACATTATCTGACCAGGTGGTTTCGAGTGCAAACCAAGTTCAAACACATCCGTCAAGTTCGTCTTCAAGATCAAAATGCGCACAAACAACCGAACGCAATTCTTTTGAGACTTACAAGAAGGGACAAGGTGGTGCCTTCCAAGCAGCATGGCATGTGGCCGCTTCGCTTGTGCCTCGGACGATGCGGCCAGGGGATTGTAATGGTTGTTTATTGGGACTGCTCGGGAGAACGTGGAGCCAAAGTAGAATCACTCCATTTGAACTCAAATCAAATACATTAGCCTGCGATGGGGCATTCCAATGAGCACTGGTCACAATGACGTTAGCTATATAGCGATCATTAAACGCCTGTGAAGCAGCGATGTGTAAGTAGACATCTTGCAAAGGGATGCCCTTTAAGCCCTTCTTGGAACCGCAAAAGGAATGCTGCAAGTTACATGCCCGATGCGAGCTGGCTTCACAAGTAGCAACATGGTCCGGCAAAAAAAACAAGAATTGGCTGTGTTGTCCACGGCCAAAAGAAACAAGAGCTGGTCCGACATGTTCAAGGTATGTTCGAACAACCTGATCCCTTTGCGGCGAAGTACAAAGGGTTGTTTCAAGGCACGCGGGCCCATTGCCAAACCGTCCGCTTCCGCTTCCGCTTGCGAGGCACGTGCGCGCATCCGCTTGGCGCCATTCTCCTCCTCCACGGAGTCCAGGCGCTGCCGCGGCTCCGGTGGTTCCAAGAGGTCCTCCTCCCGCGCCAGGCGCCTGAGTTGACAGGATCCCTACGGGATGCAACGGGTGCTGTGTTGTCAAGGTGCCCTTTTTGAGGTTGTAAAGGGAAACGAAAGGGCACCACCCATTTTGCCCCCCTATGACATACCCAGCTGGGGAGATTTGTTTCAGCGGTGGAAATGGGAGGTCCACTTGGAGGCCGGGATGGCCGGAGGCAAAACCTGAGCCTTAAGCTCACACAGGAAGTCGGTCAGTCAGTGAAGTTGGGGCTTGCTGCGGCTTGCCTCTTCGTTTGTTGCTCGTCGTTGCTGGAAAAGGCCTCAGAAGGGCCTAAGAGACCCCCAAACTGCATCACCCACCAGGTCGCCACGAGGCTCATTTCGGGCTATCTTGTGGTGATCCGGCCCCCTAAACGGTAGACTCGATATTAAGCAAATGTCTAGGAACCTGTGTCACAGCTTCTTTGCACAGCGAACAACGCTGGTGTAATGACTACTGCCATGATCTCACAAAGCCCGAAACACGTCCGACATCGCAAGCTTGGGTGAAGGAGTACTCCCTTGAGTTAGCGGGTCACCTTTCTTTGCCAAGCATCTTCTTTGGACACTGATGACACTGGCCCAAACCAAGGAAATATGACGGTGCGAAAAAAAATAGCTGAACGCATGAAACGATCATGTTTGCACAAAGGTTGGGTCCTGAATTCCTGAATCCGGGCTTTAAAAGTGTGCTGCTTTTTGTTTCGTTCTCATTGAATGTTCCTTTGCTTGCTGATTGAACTCTCCCCAAAACTCATTGGTTCGGCTCCCCGTTTGACGCGTGACGAGTGACACCAACTGGTGGACAAAGCCCTCGTTGCTGAGGATCCACCCTCGTTGCTCGCTCATGTGCCTCACCACCTTGGCGAGGCCCATCCGATCCTCAGCACGTCAAATGCCTGAAGACTATCTGGGTCCAAGGAAGCAAATGTGCCACACACACACACACACATCCGATAAATCAAACACTTCACACACATTGACATGTATGCGTGAGAAGTGGGTGCAAAGCAGGGCACGCGTGCAAATGGAATCAAGTAGATCTGGTTAGTATATATATATCTATACTTGCTCAGACAAGCATAGACGACCTGAAAAGTATTTCCAGTATGGCAAGCGCGGGGTAGACAGGCGTTTCTGGCCAAGTTATGTTCTCCCATTGGGCATTTCGCCTATCATGTCCACACCGGAATTTCGTTTGGCTCTCAGTAATCGATGGGTTTGTCAAATCGGAAATCTGGCCGTGAGGTTTGTTGCGGGGGTTTGGACAAATCGTTTGAGGCTCATGATGATATGGCTGGCACTCGATACACGGATGCTGAGACCAATCAAGCGGTCAGCCGTTGCAAAAGTCAAACACAACGTTCGAACAATCAACACCATAGAACACCATGCCAGTTGTTCCTGATCCCCTCAGCATCTCCCTGCCCTGCCTTTACTTCCATTTCGTTACGGTCTCTGGAAAACAAAACATAGTAGCTATAGATACCTCTGTATTCTGTACTCTTTCTCATCTTGGGCACTTATTAGATTTAGACATGTTCGCGTTCCTTCGTTCTTTTACCGCTACCCCTTGATTAGTCGAGCCTTGACGTTAGACGAAAAAGTCTGTATGTTCACTTGAGCTTTCCCAGGAAAAAATCGGGAGAATCAATCTTCTTAAGCAAATGGAAGTTGAGCAACTTGAAAGTTCAGGCCGATGTCGACAGCCTGACTAAGCGACATGCCATCTCCGAGGCTCCCGGATCATCAGGTAGGCCGCACACAGCGCGGCGCTGCGGTTCATCCCCGCAAAGCAGTGCACAAGCACTTTGCGGCCTGCCAAATCGAGGTTCAGGGGCCTTGAATGAGAGAATCCGTCTGTGTGGGCTGGTCAAATAGGCTGTCTCAGATTGATACCCGATAGATACCTGCTGAACCGTGCAGTCCAGAATTGCAAAGCCACAAAATCTCAAAAAGCGTAACAAGGTGTAATCATTCACCGCAACTTCAAGGTTCGCACTTGCTATTTCTTTGCTGACAATCCAGCCCATCGTCGTTCTGGCCGCTAAGATGCAGCTACCCTCCCTGGAAAGCAAGCCTACCAACATAACGAGCAATGTTGAACAAATATGAAGCATTGTCAATGAGCGCTGCTCGCCCTGCTTGCTCATCGCGCACATACGCGAACAAACACGCAGGAACAAACGCAAACACAACACACACACACACACACAAACACCCATAGGCACCTACACACACATGAACACACACATACACATGTGAAAACACACACACACAGAGTCAGTACACACGCTCAACTGTAAACGCTTGAGGACTCCATGTGTATACCTCAAGTGCGTAAATGCGTATGTATGTGCATGCCCTATGCGTACATACGTGCATAAGCTCTATATATATATATATTTACATATAGGCGAGAAAGTAACTCGGTATGCAATACAAGCCATACTGGACAACAGTGGCATCCCCAGAGCCGATCTGCGGAAAAAGCTTGTCCCAATCTGGGGCCATGGCCGTCAGCATGCTGGGTGTCCAGAAACCTGTCGCCAATGACCAGTGATCCCACATGCTAAACCTGCGATCCGCAGAGTTGCAAAATAACTTGGCATCTCCAAAGCGAAACCCGTCACCAACGTAGAAAATGCGCGTGCTTCCTAATGCGATTGCTATTCCCTAATGAAGGGCAAACAGTCTTGGTGCTAGTTGTGTATCCAAGCAGCTCCAGAACTGCGTCCATGTGCGTGTCGAGCCTTGGAAGCTATTCATGACCACTTCACTCCCAGACATTATCAGCAATGCTTTTCCTGCATCATTGGTAAGGGGTCGTGGAGCAATTTGCCTGTGACATGTTCGTGCCGAACGGCCCAAAACCCAAACCAGAGCCAGTAGCACAAGTAGCATTTTACCATAACACACATGGTTGCTGGGGCACGACACTTGTCCTCAACTGCACAGCCAAGCCGCAAAGGGTAGAATACATCATCCTCTGCCTCAATCACAAGGACCCGCCAGTGCTCAGGGTACTCTACCTCAGCATTTCTCGAAGCGTCCACGAAGAAGGATTGCAAGCGTGGACAGCGCCCACATGAATGCACCAAGCATTGAATCGAATGCCGAAACGGTGCTTGAAAACGGCCACCAACACCGTACCACAACCGCCATCCCGAACAAGAAGAACAATGAAAATAATAAAGAGCAGCAACAAAGGCAGAAGAAACAGCCATAAACTGAAAACAAATGCAAACGGCAAATTCAAACAGCAAACGCAGCCTGATCTCAGGCTTCGCCCTCCCACGACCAAGCGCACGATTCTCGATAGTCGAAGGTCAATTGCAAGGGTAAAGGGAGGTTCTCAACTTCTGGTCAATTCACTTGATGCTCCGAATGCTGCTGGTCGCTGCCTTTTCCCGAGCGAATGATTCGTGGATCCCTGTTCGCAAAGAAAGGAAACCAAAGGATGCGGATGTTGGCGCCGTACCAAAGTTCCCTACTTGCAACATCCACACATTTCGTTCAGCACCAATGCTTGTCAAGAGCATCTCCCCTTTATGCTGCCACAAACGTAAAACATGTAAAACATACCCGAACTCTTCCAAAGGCCAAAAGCCAAAAATGCTGGAAAGCTTTCAGCTGCGGCCGAAAGGCCGCTCAGTTGGATAGATGGTGTTCAAGAAACCCCACCAGCCGCTTGAACAAAAAAACAGTTGACTTTCGCACAGCCACCCGGGAACCCCTCGCCGAAAAGGACACCATCACTTATCGCCTGTGGCAGGGTGGGCAAACTCTGCTTAACAGACTTACCCCGATCTTTCAAGGAGACCAAAAGAAAGATGCTAAAACAGGGAACATGTGAATGTGTTTTCCGAGGAACCATCTATTTCAACGGAATTCGGGGTTCGCTTTTTTACACACTCACAAACCCATGTGTCAACAACTGCCCAACCCCAAGCGCAAAGCTCTTTGAATCCTTGGCCATCCTTCGGGGACTTGCAAATTGCAACTGCCTGCAACAAGGCGCGTGCACCACGTCGGGGGCCGCGTTGAGCACGGCGGAGATGCCGAGGCGTTGCAGGGCCGAGAGGTCCTGGGCCTCTCGCAGGCCCCCGATGAAGAGGCCCCAGTCCTCGGTCCATTGGAACCCATGGCTTCCGCTCACTCGGCAGACCTCCAGGCATGGGAGGTGGAAGGGTGCCCTCTTTGGAAGTGGACTTTAACGTGTCCCTGCCAGAAAGGAAATCAGGGCACCACCGGATGTTCCCGATGCTGCACCTTTGAACATCGCAAAAATCGAGGCTCACCTTTAGTCCTTCACTTCGCCAGGCAGCGGTGAGCTTTGCTGCTTCATGATCTCGTTCTCGGGGCTTCATGGTAGCTCGCACGATTTCCTGGGCTGCGTCAAGCCGAAAACGGAGCTGGGGCAGCCAAGGCAAATACCGGATCCCTCGGTCGAAGCGCGTCTAAAACAACCATTATGGCAAGTTACAGAAAGTTGCAGTAAACTAGTGGAAGCTTGGAAAGCCTGAGGCTGGATGACTCAGTCAGCTCGAAAAAACAGACTCCCTCCCGGGGTTGATCGATAGAGCATGTTTTGGCAGCTGCAGTTGGTCCCTCGTGGCTCATTGCTTATCAGAAAAAGCAAAAAGCAGAATGCAAAGAGAAATCTAGGACAAGGGGTATCGACATGTATCGACGATATCGAGCTGGTTGTGAGGATACGTGGGAGCCGGCACCCTCGCACCTTTGTTGAAGCAGACCCCCTGTCAAATGACATTGCGGGAAATGCACTTAGAGGTGGCCGGAAAGCTCAGTACATGCCCGCTGTACAACAAAAACAAATTCTGCAAGAAAAGCAATCAACCCAAGATAGTGTCACTATAGAACAACCATGATTGGAATGGAATGACAGCACAAGTCCACAAACATAATAATTTATGCCGTTAAACCCGATAGTCCCCGTGACAAGAATCACAACAGCACAAGGAACAACAAGAGGCGTCGGAAGCAGCAGCAGAAGCAGCAGCAGCGACAGCAGTAACACACAACACGCTGCTGTTTCAAGGTGTGTTTCAGAATTCTGCGACGTATCGTTGCAAAGGCTGGGTGCTGCCGAAGCCATATTGCGAGTTATATGTCATGCCCTCATTGTAGTCATTGTGCAAGTATCCTAAAATCACAGGCGAAGCAAATCGAAGCAACAGCTGCTCCCTCAGTCATGGCCTCAGGTGGCGGTTTTGGGCCACCATGATCTTGTCCCTGGAAAGTACACGCGGCAAAAGGGCAAGTTTCAACCTGTAAACATCAAGCAAATATCGTGTAAAACAAACAGCTGATAGGTCCTGGCAGTTTTTGGCCAGAACCCTGCTGCATAAGCACAACCAATGCATTCACTTTGACCTGCCTCAAGTGTTTTCTTGCAATGCGCACAACTAAACGACTCTCTAATTATGCTGTAGTTGTGGATTCCGCCGATGTAACTTAGTCGCCAACATGCCACATTTGGAGCTAGCGATCGCCTCATCCACTTAACCACCGGCCAAGCTGCTCCAACCGTCTGGCACCATATCTCATCCTCGTCCATGGAAACTCGCCTGCAAGTTGCTGCCCCGCATGAATCAGCTTGCACTCTAGCAACATTGCCTGAACACTGCAGGATACATGATTCTTTGCCTTCCGGTTCAAGCATACAATGATGCGAATAGTGCTGTCACGAGGGACAAGCAGCATACATTAACATTCACACAGGCCACAAAGGATAGATTTTAGAGAAACCGGCATGGGCGATCCTTTCTTGTCCGTGAAGCATCGAAACCCTGCCTGTGAGCCCTCCGTTTGCAAAGCGCTTTGACAGGCGGTGGTTATGTCAGCATGGCTGCGACAAAAAAGGCGCTTGTGTGTCGTCCGAAGCTTGGCGTTGCACCGGCGAATTACCGTGGAAGACTGGAAAAGCACGTCCTGTGGACTGATTCTCAAAGCTAAGGAGGTTAAACGGAGGCTAGCAGCAAAAAACAGAGCTGCCTATGGGGTGAGATCCCAAGCACATCCAGCCAAAGGCACCTGACAAGAAATAAAACAAAAGTAGAGCTTGACTCAGGTACCCTGCGTGGTGGCTATTTGCCTTCTCGCTGAGGCTACTGTGTTTGCCCCAAAGCATTGCGGCAAATAGCAGGCAATGGTCAAACTCCTCGCATGGTGGATGGGTCATGATTCTGTTGTTTCCCCTGTGGCTGACAAAGCCTTCTTGCATACTCTGCAGCACTCTGTGCATGCTCCTCTTGCGAATTTGACCTCAGGTTTGCGCCTCTTGGTATCTTATTAGTAGCTGTGTACAATTGTGATGCTTTCACCCCTAGCTCCTTTAATGCTCATTTGGCACTCTTTGGTGGGGCCTCCAACACGACCCTTAGAAAGACTTGATGACAATCCCTCAACTCAGGAAATCAGTTGCTAGCAAGGACAGCTGTGGACGGACAATTGCCAGGCCATTGGTGGGCCTCCAATCTTGAAGCGACGGTCCATCCGAGGTCGCAACGGCAGGCACCGTAGCTCATGTGGATCAACTAAGTCCTGCGAGCAGGGCGATTGCAAATGCATCTGGGTTCGGCGGTTCGGCTTTCAACCTTCATAATGGGCGTTGATCAGCTAAAGCAGGGAAGGCCTTTGTTGGACCTACACGCTTTGTGATTGATCTGTAACCAGGGTACGGGTCGAGCTTTGGATGGTGAACCTAAGGGCACACTACCAAGAATGTACAAAAACGCAACAAGCGCCGAGTTTTATGACACTTATACTTTTGCCCATGCGCATATCCTGCAGATCCCCAGTCAAATTAATGGATCCCTGTCAGCTGCGCATGAGTCATGAGCCTAGCAGGAAGGTGTTCAATTCACCCCCCCCCCCGCCCCTACAAAGTCTAAATTCCCTGCCCCCATCAAATGGGTGCCACAGCCTACAATCAGTGCTGAGCACGCTCTCTCTCTCTCTCGCTCATCTCTGTGGCACTGAGCACTGGCAGATCTCATCTCAAAAACACGAAAGCCAAAGCCTAAGTCGTTGCGAGACACGAACATGAGGTATCGACCTTGTGCCCCTGGCCTTGCCCATTGCCTGGACCGCACACAGCCTGCAGCCCTCTTAGAGTTACATAGCTTTGGGAAAGTATTAACAAAAAGGCAAAACAAAAACACTGGATCTGCTTATCCAAATCATGCTACAGTGTATGCGCTTCAGCATTCCCCTTGTTACTCATTTGCGTTTTCGTGCACTGAGTGCATTCAAATTTGCATTCGCAGGGCGTTCGAAACAACTGGGTTCGTAAATGCAACATAAAGGTGAAAATATATGAAGAAACACAGTTGTGTGAACGGTGTGAATATCTTTGCTCAAAGGATCCCCAGGATTGCTCTACCCTATGCACACTGGGCTTCGATCCAGTTTAGTAGGTGACACATACATGCTGCCGAAACCATCTGCGCTCTGACCGGGGCAGTCCAGCAAGTTTCGCCAGTCCGTATAGTCGGGCCTCAGCAAATGGAAAAAAAAACAAAAAACAGAGCACTGGCATGACACCGCGCATGCGCTCTACTGGACAGAAACGTTTCGGCTCTCTAAGGCTTCAAGCCCTGAATTTCTGCCAAAAGTGGTGGCGCTCTTGGAGCCCTGGCTCAAGCTCTAGAGCATCGCACTGGAAGATGCCGAAACTGTCTCGGCCTCGCAAAAATCGGCGGCTTCGAGGTCAGGCAGTCTCAAAGTGAGCCCGGGGCATTGCAACGAACCCGAATTTGAATGGGGCGAGCCACATATATTGAAGGTGGCAAGCCTATTAGCCCAACGAGTTGCACTGCCAACGAAATATTACTCCAGTCTGGAAAATGCCCCTGCCTGCTAACCTTTGCCATGTCAACACACAAGGCCAGACCTTGGAAGGCCCTCACATCAGCCTGAACCGTGGCACATGAAACCCACCATGAGGGGCAACGCACCAGCAGGAAAAGCTGGAACCTCCGGTTGGATTCGCGTGACAAGCCTTTGAACCCCCTCATCAGAAAGGATGACATCACCGCCAACAAGCTTTGCGAGAAGGGATTGGCAGGAATTGCACTTCCGATGCCGGCCTTTGGCAAGCGATCCGAATAACTGGCCGAGGGCGGGCAGGGGAACTTCCGAACGGCATGCATTGGTTGCCCTAGCCCTGCAAGTCTGACTTTTGGGCTGTTGACTTGCAATGACGCGCACTTTGCATCTCCAAATGCAGAAAGGTAAGGTGACAACTCGTTCAAAAAGGACTGCCCAAAACCCGCGCCGGTGCTGGCGCTTCATGTTTCACACGCGTCCGGCTCTGGGCTGCGGTGCGCTCTGCGCGAATCTCATCAAAGGCGTCGAAGAGGATGGAGTTCGTCTCCGGCGTGTCGCGGCAAGCCTCACGAGAAGGCACGGCTCCAAGCCCCTGACCTCAAGCGGGAGCCATGGCCAATGGAACTCGAGGTGTCGGCCGATGTTGGCTTTTTGGGCTCGCACTCCAGCGAAACAAGGGAATAAATGCTCTGCCACAAGCCTTTTTAAGGCGCAACCATTTCATCGATTTCCATTAAGAATTCCACAGCCTCCTGGCAGGAAGCGGAACGCTGCAATCTGAAATTGCTCTGTATGGATGTCAAGCCGTAGGTGCTTACAGCCTGCCTATTGGGAGCGGATCACCCTTACCTGCTGGTTTTGTTGGGCAGCATCCGAGGTTGCTCAACATGTAGATGCAAACGAGGGTGGTGTTAAATCACACGATGTTGTCTCATACGATCTCATGCTCCATAGAAGCCTCGGACTGCGATTCCTCGATCTGAGCATGTCCCGTGCTGCATACTCGCGAAAGAGATTGCATGCGCTCATTCGCCTCATTCGCATTGGCAGTAACCTCACATCTTGGTCCCGGGCGCACTGGGATTGAATCACCAGCGTCTGAGGTGCCAGCGAGAGCCAAACAGAACCTGGGATGTCGCCAAACCATGATTTAATTAGGCCTGGGAAGGGAGCCTCAATCTCAGTTGCTTGCAGGAGCGCATCTAATCAGCCAGGCAGGAACATGCTCGTTTGACCATTCACCCATGGGCAAACGTTGATGTCACTTCCACATGCCTAGGTATTGGTAGGTTTGATTGGGAACCGGAGCCGTCCCAGGAAACAATGCATGCATCAAATGAAGCTGGGAGAGACGGATTCTGCCCTGTGTCATGCTAGGCTTGTTCGCCCTCCTCTTGATTCAACGCGCTGGTTTGAACCCAGAATATGAGGTTTGCCTAGTGGTTGAGACCAGCACGTGCCGCAAACAACCCCAGCTGCCTGAGAAACTCAAAGGCAAAAGGCTCCGGCAAACAAATGGCTCCTCGACCGCTTCAGTGCTTAGTCGGACCACTTGTACGGCTTTCAAACCCAGTGTTTAAAAATGATAGAGTTGATGCAACAACCTGAAATATGAGTTGACCATGATAGTCATAATCGTCTAGACTTGCTCTGGCGCGCACCTCTTGCCCTCTCGCTCTAACCTGTGCGAGGCGCGCAGCGCCGCCGCAAACAATTGCCGGCCTCCGCCAACTGCACTCACAAAGACTGTGAGGCTACCGGGCTCCAAATCGTCGCGGGATGAACATGCAAAGCTTTGAGTCAGAGGGGTCAATTCAAGGATCTGTCAGAAAAACCCGCACAAATTGCGTCAGAATGGCCAAAAGTGACGTCACGAACGTAATTACGTGGGCCATGTTTCCACTACCAAGCTTCAATAGGCTCCTGCTCACAAGGTCATTGCATCGCAGGCTGGCACTTTAGCTGCAACTCGGATCCCAAACAGCAAAGCTTCATACTTGTCGAAGCGAGTCAAGCACTGTCCATCTGAACATGGCACTGCCCCAGGCCTTGCTCGCTGAAGGTCCTCAGAGCACGGCACCCGGGGGCCCAATCATGGAGCGAAGACGTACGGACTTGCCCTCCCAAAGACGTGACAACAAGTTTACATAACTTTGGCAGTCGTCAGGGGTCACAACTAGGGGCCCTCTCTAACTGCTCCAGCCAGTTGGGAGTTTTGGTTTTGACACTCGTGAAGTTAGCTTGGGACATCAGTTGTTTCTGCCCCTGGAAGCAACATGGCAGCTAGGCCGACCGCTTCAGGATTTTGCCTCTGCCTGCCAGGACCTGCCAGGACCTGCCAGGACCTGCCAGGACCCACCGCTGAGGTCAGCACATATGCGATGCCAGGAAGGATCGGTACGCCTGGCGCGAGGACTGCAAGCCATCGCCTCCTTTGAGCATGGGCACATGTCTTCATCTCAAGTGGAACCGCTCCAACGCCTTTTGCCAGTCTCCCAAACAGAAGGAGCAACTTGACGCCATGCCGCACCAAGTCCCAACATATTGAGCTTTGCACACTTTGGAATAGAGCGAATGAATCAATGCATGGCTGGTCGCTAAGCTGCAAAAGTATGGTTTGCTGGCGCGAACATACTGCAGTCGCGGATGTCAACGGTTTGGCGTTCTCCCATCCTTTTTGCGTTGCACAGCTTCTATGCGTTCGCCGCTGGGAAAGTTGGCGCGCAA